CTGTAATTTACCTTAGATCTGATAGTGACTTAGTTTCTTATTCCTTCCTTCTTTCTGTATGCTTAATATTCAGAACTCTTTGGAACTCTGAATATCCATAATCTTCTGGCATGAATTTCTGTCATTGAAATTAAGGACATCCCAAGTGTTTGTGTAGAGGTGCAGCACATACACTGAAGCTGACATCCTGACCCTATCCTGAAGTTTCTGGGTTTCTGGTCGTTTCCCAATAGTTCTGGAATAAGTTCCTGACATGGCACTTAACATTTGGTCCTCCCAGCTGATTGAGCTAAGTGTTGAATTTCATCTCTATTGTACTATCTGCTGTGTTTGAAATACCAGAGCACCCTAACAGTTCATACAAGGGTGCAACACATAAGTTGAATCCAAGCTCCACTATATTTACAGAGTCAGACCTCCTGACTAGTACAATCTCTATCATCAGCCCCCCCAATCAGTTCATTTCATATTATTGGCCACCCAACTAGAGACCCCTCCTCTTTTTAGCTTAGATCTTAACATCATGACAGAAGGTGATTCACTAACTGACATATTGATTGATACACAAGTACTTCTATTACAAGTCTATTAAACCCTTGTAGATTGTGTATTACAATGAGTCAACTCATGTACAGTGACTCAAAAAATCCTTCCAATGTTTGGTACTTCAGATGTATATCCTTGATAACTCAGAGGATAAAAATGCAGAAATATCAAAACTATTTCTGAGCATACCCAAAAATGGATATTACATAATAATATTTTAGAGACTGATTCTACACATGTTTAGCTATATACTGTATTTGTTTGAGATTTTTGCTATTTTATCTCCCCTCTGCCAATATGCAAATGTCAAACATTGAAAAGGTTTTGAGAGTCACTGTAGATTGTGGAAATACAATTTCATTACATAAGCTCCAAATATGGAAATACTACAAATATTTATATATAGGAGACTCATTGGAAGGGTTTGCTGGCTGCCTTGATGACTATAAATGCTTATAGTCATGTGACCTTGTTGATTGTTCACCTCCAACTGGGTCCTATCAACAAAATCACATGATCTCATGTCATGTCACCACATTGTGCTGGAGTATAAATACATGGCCTTTAGCAACTAGCAATGTCCCAATTCCCAAAATGTCCACTTTGTCTCTTGCCAGCCAGAATCATATTCTCTCACTGCTTTTGATGTGGCCAAATGTTACAACTGGAATTCCTGCCAGACTCTGGGCACTAACATATATGTACTTGCACCCTATACACACCAATTATCAGTTTACCGGAAATCCCGCCAGACTCTGTATGTCAGACCTGTCCACACTCAACCTTCATTACTTCATGTATCAGTCACTGAAATACCTGCCAGACTCTGTCCCTGTCTATCTCTGACCCTGTCCCATGCATCAGTCACTGGACCCCTCTTGGAAAACCCGTCAGCCCTCTAACTGAGCCCCATTCCTGTTATAGTCAAATGACCTGTCACAATTTGGACTCCACTCCCGCCTGAGTTATCAGGGATGTAAACCTGAAGTACCAAACATTGGAAGGGTCATTGAGGCACTTCCAACCATATTGAGACTATTCTGCACAGTTTGAGTACAGATGGACTGGTTGGTGACATTCCTAAGAGCTTTGGCCACATCAAAAGCAGTGTCAGCCTTCCCAGAGCTGATGAGGTGCTGTGCATAGTGAATGTTGGTAGGGGAAAGCTTTGAGGGATGACCACCAATGGACTTTGAGAGATGAGAACGAAGCTTAGAGACTGTGCAAATGCTATGGCCAGTAGAAGCTGCAATATGGCTAGCTGAATGGCCAACATCAAGCAATGAGAGGATATGATTCTGGCTGGCAAGAGATAAAGTGCATATTTTGGGAATTGGGGCATTGCTGGTTGCTAAAAGCCATATATTTATACTCCAGTACAACATGGTCATGTGACATCATGTGACATCATGTGATTTTGTTGATAGGACCCAACTGGAAATAAAAAATCAATAAAGTCACATGACTATAAGCACTTATGTATAGTCATCAAACCTGCCAGCAAAAAAACCCTTCTCATGAATCTCTTGTATATAGAGATTTGTAGTATTTCCATATTTGGAGATTATGTAATGGTATTGTACTTCCACAATCTAGATATGATAGAGCATATTCACAAATATTTTTGATATTTTTGCATTTTTATTCTTTGAGTTACATGGAATATACATCTGAAGTATAAAACATGAGAAGGGTTTTTGAGGCACTGTATGACCTGTCACAATTTGGACTCCACTCCATTCTGTCCCATTCCTAACACCAATTTTGGTGTTTATTTATCTCATTTTATGTTTGCTATTTTAGTTTTCATTATTACTAAATTTGGTATGTTATTCATTCCACAGTCTATATAGTCTGGCAGATGTTGTACATACAATCCAGTCAGAAAATCAGCTTAGGTTCTCCCCAGTAATCTTAGTATATTTTCCGCTCTAAATTCCTCTTTGAAACACACTGCTTTTACTCATTGGAGCCCACGGGCTCTGACCCATCTATCACTTGACCTCTGACCCATCTATCACTTGACCTGACCCATCTATCACTCAATCCCTGACTTATCTATCTCGACTCCCTGACCTCTTGACCCATGAACCCCACCCAGACTCCCTGGGATTCCCGTCCACCTGTTTGAAATTGGACAACACGATTTTGCAAGGGTGCAGCCTATAAGCTGAAGCCAAGTCCTACTGGATTTCCTGTGGGTTTCTCCAGAAACCCTCCATATACATATGCACCCTTAACAGTATTTTCTGACTAAGACTCACAGATTGTTCAATATGCCACCAAGAAGAAAAGCACACATACAGGAATCATTACCCAGACCATCAGCTCTTCATTCCCCACTTACTTTGTATACCACCCAGACACTCACAAACCTCCAGCTTCATCTACTTTGTGATGAATGTGCGAGGAGCTGTATGGTTGGGTAGGGGGAGAGTGTTAGCTCTCCGCATATGTGTGGGAAGACTCGCCGTTCGGGAGGGTGGGTCTCCTCATGTGTTACAACTCTCACTTTAATAAGTTTATTACCATGGTCCTGCATAGATAAATCTGAGATATTGAAACTATCATTAATACCTTCATCAGTCTAAGGGAAGGGAGGGTGGGTAAAACAAATATAAGTGACTAAAAGAATGATAATCTGTAAAGAGTGGTGATCCTTGGATTGCAACGACAAAATTGTCACAGTAGGAAAGAAAGAAAGGCATGAGGCACTTCTGTACGCTCAACTGGATGTTGAGAGCCGAACTACTCCCGGCATGCCAGGGATCGTATGACACTTGGCACTATCCAGCTTCATCTACTTTGTGACGAATGTGTGAGGAGCTGTATGGTTGGGTAGGGGGAGAGTGTTAGCTCTCCGTGTATGCGTGGGAAGACTCGCCACTCACCCAACAAGGCCTGGCTACAAAACAAAAATGTGGCAAGGCTATGCTGCTCACCCAACCTATATAGCAATATTTCTGATGGTAAGGTTTCCTGTGTGTCGTGATGCAATTTGTTTGAAAGCTCTAATATATGCTTTGTAGGCCAATGATTTCCATTGTCCTGCCAGTCTCACTATCTCAGGGTCGACTCCTTGTGCTAAGAAAAAGGAAGCTCCTCCAATATGAAATGAATGACCAAAGCTTGTTCCCCATCCTATGTGTTGAGGATTGAATTTATTCTGTCTAGTGCCACTTTTTTTATCAATGGTCGTATTTTGTCTTTGTCATCCTGCCAGCAAAAAAGTGGATTGTCAGGTCCGGCTGGTACAATCCTCAATAGGTTGATGAGCACTTCAATCGGGCAAGCTCTTTGTTGGTCTGTTAGAAATACTGATTGGGATGTGCCAGTTCTGGCAGTTTTCGCTAAAGGTAAGTCCAGGCGTGCATACCGTTTGCCATCATCATCCCGACTAATTAGGGCATCTTTGCACTTCAGGTGTTTGTCAACGTTAAAATGTGACCTGGATTGGACTGATACCTCTCCAAATCTCATCAGCCCCCAAAAAGCACATGATGATGTGGCCCAAACACACGTGTCAAAGGGGTTATCCAAATCTAAGGACATTTTCAGAGCAAACAACATCTTCAATTTTACTGGTGGTCTTGGGGGCTTCTTCCAAGTATTACCCTGTAAGTTTCCCAGTCCTCTCAATGACCACTCTATCCGTGTCTGCTCATCTTCTGATAACGGCAGTGGCCAACCTTGGGCTATGTGCCATGCCCTAATCGCTGCTAGATATTTCCGTGTGACGCTAATTGAAATTGTCTTGAATGCCATTCCAGCCATCAGTGACTCTCCTAGAAATGATGGATCTGCTGCTGCCCAAAGGGCAAAGGAATGTAATATTGGGAAGGATGCCGGCAGCCTGTCCACTTCTGCCACTGAAAATATGTCACAAAATATGTGGAACTTGTGCAGGCCTGATCCGTAGCCATTTGCATCTCATAGTGATGCCTCAGAGGCTATAGATGTGAGCATCTGTAATATTGGGTGGCACACTGTCACTGGTGGTGGTATGTTGACACCTTTCCATTTAAATAATCTTTCCCCAGATTTGCATGGTGGTCTCAATACCGATGGGGCCAGGTGCAGTTGACTTGGCACTGTTGGTTGCCATGATGTGGTGAATGGAGCTGGCACTCTGACTGGGGCTACCACGACTGGATCCAGTGCACCAAGTGTCCAGGGATATCCAGGCTGGCTTGTGTATGTGCTGATGGAAAGCCTTTTCAAGGATATACATCTGAAGTACCAAACATTGGAAGGGTTTTTTGAGTCACTGTATGTCCCCACTGTGTGCTATAGGGTATAGTTCCTGTGTGTAGAGTGGACAGCTATATATGTGTATGGTATAGTGGACAAGTCTGGACAAAGAGCCAGAGAGGACCTATATTTGCATATAATATTGTTGAGTGCCAGCATTAAGGGAGTGGGTTAGATTGTGTAATGCTAGCACTGCTCCTTAGGGTTAGGTGGTGTGATTGGTAACACCCTTGCTATATATGCAGAAGCTCTGGGTTCAATTCCCAGTCTGGCCATTCATTTTCTACACTTTTAAGGTGTACATCATGTATTCGTCACTGACCCATGGGCATTTGGCCCCATAGGCCTGCTGATCCTGCCTCTCCCACTTCGCGTCTCGGCATCGGTAACTTCTGCCGGAGCTGCAGGTACGGGCCGCTTGGCTTTGCCGTAACAAACGCCCACAATTCTTGACCAATTAAGATCACGCGCGGAGTTAGTGCTTCCACATTAGGTAATTATCCCCCGTGAGTGCATCGATCCGGTATGAAGTGTTCGATTGGATGCCGTTCGACATTGCTGCTAATCGTGTTTGAGTTGGTTTAAGTTTTTAAAGATAGTGGGTTTCTGTGATTATAGTTGGGGCGCACCTGTAGTGTAAGGGTTCCGCTATGAAGAAGCCTCAGAGAGCTCTTGCAAAAAGGGAACGAAATGAGTAGGACTAGGTTCCTATTCAAAAGAGACTATTGTAACCATACAAGGGATCTACCTATTTATGATAATAGCAGTAGAGCCCTTGCAACAAGTCAAAAACCCGTGAAACAAACCAACTAGTAGTCTAAGACACCACCGGTCAGGCGGGCCCGGCGGCCCCGATGCCAAGTCCGCTCTAACCCAAGTCCGCTACCGTTACACCTGTAGTCAGAGGAGAGTTCTGTAGAATATGAATGAACCCAATATGTTCTGTTATTTCTACCTCTTCCTCCCAGACTAGAAATACTGTTTCTCGCAGGTTGTACTAATTATTTGTACATAGCATATTCCAACATTACGCAAGTAATATTTCTGCGCAACGTCTCACAGGCATCGAATTGCTGGGTACCGCCCAGATCTGATCCGACAACAGAGGTGTCATGTGGTGCATAGTTGATGCAGTGTCACACACACACGGTAGTTTGAATTGTACAGATGAATCTGACTCTTACATGTGTGTGTGAACACATTTCTAAGACAATCACCAGGAATAGCCCCGGATCCCCAGCGGATCATCGCGGAGTTGAAATTTTAGTCAGTGCTCATTAGCATCCTCAACGGGTTCAAAACCCAGAAAGAAACTATTAAGGATCCCTTGAGTTTTGGATTCCGAGATTTTTCCGGTGAGCGTCTTTAAAGTGTGTTCGGTAGTTCAATATTGGAGGTCTAGCCATTAGCGTTGTGCATTTAGCTTGTTGAATATGCCAGCCACTGCTTCACTCTGGTTAAACGGTTCCCCTCAATCATCCATTACAAACCAAACCTATAATGTCGTTAATTCTGCAACGCAGGAAGTAGTGACCATAGCCGCATCTGCATCCTCTGAAGATGCCATTGCCGCCATTGTTTCAGCGGACAAAGCACAAGCAGAGTGGGAGGCCGTTCCATGGCGCACAAAACGCGACATCTTCTTTAAAGCAGCTCAAATAATTAAAACGTCAAAATATGTGCAACTTATCGCGGACACAGTCGCCCAGGAAACATCTGCCGTCGAGAACTGGATCTCGTTCGAGACTGCCGGAACTGCAGCTCGATTCACGGAGGCAGCATCGATGGCGACGATGTTACAAGGGGAAGTATTTCCGAGTGATCGTTACCCGGGAGGTACTGTGATGATTGAAAAAAGGGCCTTTGGGACTGTTTTTGCCATTTCCCCATTTAATGCGCCTGTCAATCTTGCTTTGAGGGCGGTAGCAGTTCCCCTCATATGCGGAAACGCTGTGGTCCTGAAATCTTCTGAATTGAGCCCTCTTTGCGCTGAGATTGTTGTTCAAGTGCTTTATGAGGTGCGTTTGCGAGATATTACAACAAGTGGTGATATATTCGATTAATCGTACAACTCGGTATTTATTAGGCAGGATTGCCGAAAGGAGTCCTAAACCTCTTGCATGTTTCGGCCGAGAATGCCCCTCGAATCGTCGCTGAAATAATCGGACATAAGCTCATTCGACACATCAATGTATGTATTGGAATCCGGCCAGGCGCATTAAACAAGCTAATTTTAGTTATAGTTCACGGGAAGCGACAGAGTTGGAAAGATCATCGCTGGCGAAGCCGCTAAATACTTGAAACCGTGTGTGCTTGAACTGGGTGGTAAATCCCCTTGCGTCGTGAGTTTGTTAATATGTCGTCTAGTATCGGGCTTTGATAAGCCATTAGGTTTTGAATGATGCCAATGTCGAAGAGGCAGTGCGCAGTATTATCCACGGAGCCATGTTTCACAGTGGTCAGGTCTCTATCCCCCTCCGCATCGCGTTATGACCTTGTCTCATCCCCTTTCCCCTCCCCTTGTCTAGATTTGCATGTCCACCGAACGTGTTATCGTCCAACGAGAAATCTCAGACGCCCTTATCAAAGCCCTGGCGACACTCGCCCAGAAAGTTCACGCCGGGCCCGACAAGTCCTCACACATCCCGCCTCTCGTCACATCAGGATCTGCGGCTCGCGTCGTTTCGATGCTTAACGATGCGAAGGAACGTGGTGCGGAAGTAATCGTCGGAGACCTCACTCACAAAGGCGCTGTGCTGCAACCACACATCCTTCTTGGCGTTGAGCCAGGATGGCCTATGTGGGATCGGGAGACGTTTGGGCCGGTGTTTGGCATTAAGATTGTGGATACTGAGGAGGAGGCTGTTACGCTGGCCAATGCGACTGATTATAGCTTGATTGGTGCAGTTTGGACTCGTGACATTGAGAAGGGGCTGAAAATCGCAAAAAGGATTCGAGCAGGTGAGCGCGGATGTACATTATTTTCACCACCCTCCGAGTGTGAGACACGCTCAAATTGCAGGTCATGTTAATATCAATGGTTCAACCTTTGGTGCTCAGGCTGGAGCCGAGCTTCGTGGTCTTGGGTACGTCTGTTAGAGACTGCTATCTTTGATGAGTTTTTAAAATAAATGCCGCACTTTACAGAGGTGCCACCGGATATGGTGCATTTTGCATTGAGGATTTTACGCAAAAGAGGTCTGTAGCCATCTTACCGGCAGGGCTACACCTTCCACTTGTCAAAGATCTTTAGTCATGTCAGTGATCTTTAGTTATGTTTTTGTAACCATAATATATATGAGGGCTCATAAACAATATGAAGCCACTCCCAAGTTGTATAGATGTACTAGTATGATTCGATTGCGACTAACGCTACTCACCGACAAAACCCCCCATCACAGAATCCCTTCAAGGCCCAATGCAGGCTGTTGGTGAAGGAAGCTAATTAAATACGCAAAGCGATGACGAAGGGTTTGTAGCTCCACTGGCGAGGTTTAAAATCTCGTTTGAGTACTTGTAAGCCTATAACAGAATACACCCGTCAAGGAGACATTTTGCAAGAAATTATTGTATAAACACACAGAAGGATCTCCGTACCCGATGGCAGTCTTAGTCTCATACACCTATATCTCAATTAGCTATAGTAATGTAGCAACTCCATTGTCCGTTACGAGATATAATTAAATTCCAAGTCAAAGAGAGTCAAACCAGGCGAGCTCACGCACAAAAACGAGACAGCATCACTCACTGCTCAATTGGTATCGCGAGTCCCTCCCCTACTTCGGATGAAGACATCCTTCTGTGTCGAGACTCGACTCACGTCGACCCCCCTACTTCGGATGAAGACATCCTTCTGTGTCGAGACTCGACTCACGTCGACCCCCCTAACTTTGGAACGAATGATTGGTCGCATCCGGCCCACACTCCAGTCTCTCTGCGACTGCCCCCATCCTTTATCTCATATTCATAATCACGGTCCATACCCTTCACATCCACACATTTCCATCACATTCTTCCATCTGTTTGGGCTCTAGGGATGCGGGGAGTTTTGACCATCGCTGGGGGGACGAGCGAGGGGCTTGAGAATGACTTAATTTGTTTTGCCCAAGGCAATCCTTATGAAATGGACTAGTAGATCATTGTGAATATCCTTTCGTAATTGTGTAGAATAATGGGCGATGCCATCATAAGCTGACAGGTAAATAGTGAACAAAAATATACTCAGCCACAAGCCTTTTGCAATTACTAGTACATATATTAAATTGTGACTAGTTGGGTATTACGATCGCCATGGTTGTTCATGTTGAGCTACAATGCGGGGCTGGAGGAGTTTTATAATTGAATCAGAGTGTTAGCATTAGATCTGAGATAATAAATCTATTGGATACTTCCATGCTAGTAGCTCAACATGAACAACCATGGCGATCGTCTTCGTTCGCTATCGTCGATGAGGAAAGGCTTTGGCGCTTGTAGGTGTGCTAGTGTAATGCAAAACATCGGCATATCCGCCGAGGTTCAAACACCGACAATATCTTTGAAAACTTTATTCAGCGATTCCCACGAGCCATCATCAAATAGCCCACCTACCAGCGCCAAAGCCTTCTTTTCTTTTCCTCATCGACGATAGCGAACGAAGACATCCTAGTCTCCTTACTCATAATCCACATAAAAAAAGTATGTGGAAGTGTAGGAAACTTTATGCCCTTGTCAATGCTGATAATAAAGCCCGGCAGGATGTCTGACGCTGGAGATGAAATTCAAGTTGACGCACCCGCCGCGGCGGTTGAGGTTGAGGCCAAAGAGGCCCCCAAAGGTAAAATGTCCGTAGAGGACGCTCTTCAGGTTAGTTTTACAATCACATAAATATACTTTATCAAACTCATAATGTTTTCATCTCTACTTGACCTTTGACAGCAAGTGCTCAAAAATGCGCTCGTTCACGACGGTCTCGCCCGTGGTCTGCGTGAGTGCGCTAAGGCCTTGGATAGACGCCAAGCACATCTTTGTGTGCTCGTTGACTCCTGCACTGAGGCTGAATACATCAAGCTTATCGAGGCCTTGTGCAACGACCATAATATCAACTTGATCAAGGTCTCTGATGCCAAGATTCTCGGAACTTGGGCTGGTCTTTGCAAGATCGATCGTGAGGGTAACCCGCGTAAGGTCGTTGGGTGCTCTTGCGTCGTTGTTAAGGAGTACGGTGTTGAGAGTGAGGGCTTGCATGTGTTACTTGATTTCTTCAAGAACCGTTAAGGTAAGTCTTGTTTGGTTTCAT